GGGCATGGTCGCCGTCAACGACTTCGGCAGCTACTACGCCGTGCAGCTGCCATTCGGCGGCGTCAAGGGGTCCGGATACGGCCGATTCGCAGGTGAGGAGGGACTCCGGGCCGTGAGCAACATCAAATCCGTATGTGCGGATCGGTTCCCGCGTCTCATGGGCACGCAGATCCCGCCCACGGTGGACTATCCGATCCACAAAGGGGACGGGGATCGCAAGAACGGCAATGGCGCGTGGGAGATGTGCAAGGGGGTTGTTGAGACGGGGTATCAGCTCACGTTGGCGGGGAGAGCGAGCGGGATTTGGAAGATTTTGAAAAATTCCTGATATGGTGATTTGCGGAGCGCAGCGAAGCAAATTATATTTCCAGACATGATAACTATTTAGTCAACTGGTTGGATGACTGGATCTATAGTGTATAATATTTCATGTGCATGTATATATACTTTTAAATTTTAAAACTAGGGAATAATATGACATGTATGATATACAAGACAAATGGGGTTTTCCTCCTCGGCAGCCGAGTCGAGTCGAGTCGAGTCGTATGACTCCAATGAACATTGCTCTGCCCCATGACGGAGTAGATGCGCAATATGATACCTGCAGACAGCACCAGTTGCTTCGGTTGTTTCTATTATTACTCGCGTTGGAAGGGCCATTCCATGTACAGTACAGTACAGTATATACTTGTGGAAAATGATATGCAGGCGATGCTACCGCTTGACAGCTACCTAACCTACTAGCAAGTAAGCACAAACACTTATTCAGGGTCATTACCCTATGCACAATTATCTACCTAGAGGATGTTGTTCATGTTTCTGTCTTTATTTTTGGTATTAGTGTCAACATGGTCGACTGAACGTCCCGTTAACGATGGGAGATGATTAATAAGATTAACAGATCCGGTCTAGTATTAGGGTTAGGGCTACGACATAATCTTCACGTGCATCTCCTTGCCCTTGCCCTAGGAGTAGACGCGGATCTCCCGTGACGTCGTCACATCCCAGGCTCCGCGCGCGCGGCGTGCCCTCATCATAAGACGGGAGCTTGATCTCTCAACCCTGAACTCACCCTCTCGAGGAAGAAAATCTATCCCGTCCTTACTCAGTTCGTCTGGCCGGCAGCTATTCGTGTCTGTCAACTTGTCAAGTTCAAATCTGGGGTAGAAGAGATGGGCTCCTCGCAGGCGAAAATAATTCATAGCAACAATAAGAGTACCATCGCCGCGAGTTGCACGGACTGATTACATACATACATACGGAAGTACATACATACGCATATACATATATACCAATCTTCCTTCGTTGGTTGGGATGCTCACGCCCATTAGAGTCCGTGGCCGCAGGAACAGAAACAGAAACAGATCAACAACGACCTGCAAGAAGGAGAAGGCGGCTGCTACCTCAGAGAGCGATGGCGATGTTCGCAATAATAATCATCACAGCCAACAACAACCACCGCGCCGGCCTAAGGGCCGGCCCATGATGCCTTTCGAGCTCAGGTCCTCTTCGCAGGTGAAGGAGGCTGAGAGAAGAAGACATGTCGCAGCAGCAGCAGCAGCAGCGAGCATCAGCCCGACCAAGAAGAGGAAACACCGGAAAGCGTCCCTGCTGGAATGTCTCCCCGTTGAGCTGATAGAGAAGATCTTTCTTTACTCTCTGGATATTAATCTGCCGCGCGCGTCGCCGACGCTGGCGGCGGCATTGTCCAGTGAGCGGATTTACAGGGTGTTGATACTGCTCTCGTTCTGGGACGATTCGCCACGGTCGGATGATGATAATGATGATGGTCAGTCTCGCGCAGCGATATCACGGGCTCTGCGGCCCGCGGACTACGTTCCTCTGGAAGATGAGGAACGCAGACGTCTCCAGTCGGCGATCCTGCGCTGCAGATGGTGCACGCTGGACCGGGTCCGGGCCCAGCTGCCGGAGCTGATGAGGATGACGGTTCAGAAGCACTGGTTCGGCGCCGGCATCACGATGGACGACGCCCAGCAGGGTGCGCTGACTCGGTTTCTGGAGCGGAAAGAAGACGTCCGGACCTTCGAGGGCACGGGGCCCAACGGGAAGACGTATGTCCTGTCCATCGACCCTCTGGTTTCTGTCAGCATCCACTGTCCTGAAACCGGCCATCTCAAGACACACCGGGTCCTCAGCGTGAGGACCTTTCCAGACAAGCTGCTGCGTAGCGGACACGATGACAACGACATCGCCTTTCTCGAGATGCTCCGTCACGCCTGCGGCTTTAGCTCTAACTTCGAGGATGCTTCCGGCCTAGATCTCTCCTTCTCGCGAGATGCGCTGCAGAAAGGGATCCACAACGCGCTGGTAGCGAACAACGCCCGAGCCCTCACGACACTGCTCAAAATCGACGAGTATTTCACCCGTCGTCGCATCATCGCCCGTAACAATGCTGCTGCTGCTGCCCCTGGCGCGTTGTCATCGTCCGTCGACGACATGCTCTACTACTCCCTCCCAGCAGAGCACTTCCGCACCGCAGTGCACAAGGCAGGCCACGACCCAACCTTCTTCCAGCTGCTACTCCGCGCAAACGCCGAGTCCGTGCCACCCGACGACCCGGACATCACGCAGTGGGCGATGGACCTTGAGAGCGACAGCGACCCTACTAACAACACCAAGAATAATAGTAATAATAATCACGCCGCCCTCGGCCGCTGGCTTCTCGACTTCATGACGCGCCTGCCTAGGGACATCGAGACTGCGCGGACGAATCCCCGCGAGGCAGCAGTCTTCTATCTCGGCGCTGCTAATCGTAATGTCCTGATGGGAAGACGGTATCTGGAGGAGGTGCTGCAGATTGGTCAAGCGGGAGACCTGCCGAGTTGGATGGAGGAGGTTTCGTATGATGTGTCTAGTAAGTGGATTTCTGGATTGGGGTCGGGGGCGGTGGAGGAATAACGGGAAAAGAAAGGAAAAGAAAGAAAAGAAAAGATGCTGGGTTGTTTGGTCTACGGTATGTGAGTTGGTTCCAGGTGTGCAAAAAGAAGTCTCAAAAGGCCATAAATAATATTCATAATAAGTGTTGAATAACAATAATTTTGCAGTTTATGAACCATAAATATATCCCAAAATTCAAGCAAAACGAGAGTATGAAGATGAAAAGCAAAATTATCATTTGTATGTATATCGTACGTAAACTATCTAGTTTCTTTTTTATACCCCCCTCTTCCTATAGATATCCTCTTCTCGTATAGTATTTAGTATTTAGTAGCAACAATAGTAGGTGAATACAGCAAATTCTCGACGAGCCCTTTTTATTTATTTTTTTATTTAATTCTAACCAAACCAGCCGGCCAGCCAGGCATATCCGATTCTGAGATTTTCTTCCAGGTCAAGTTAAGAGTTAAGGTACACTCCGCCCCAAATTCTGCAGGAGAGCGTTTTTGACCCGAACCTCGTTCGGGGGCAGCTCCTGCCATCGTTTCTCCACGAGCAGCCGGATGAACGGATCGTTCGGCCCTTCTGCATGCTTCAGCGCGGCGCGGAAATGGTTGGGCCGCGCCGGCCAGCGCAGCGGGTAGTTGTAGATCTTCGTGCGGATGTGCATGCTGAGGAGCCGCTCGAAGGTCGGATAGTCGCGGTCGCGGATCACCTGCCGCAGGACGCGTTTGGAGCGTGTAAAGGTGTTGTCGTCGTCGATGTAGGCTTCGGTCGCGAGGAGGGAGAGGTATTCCAGCTTGGTTGGCGTCCACGGCGGCCGCAGCAGCTTGTCCGGCATCCGGGCCGGGTTGTCCATCGAACAGCAGGGCAGACGGAACACGTCGGTCTCGTAGAAGATGGGGCTTGGTTCCCGGATTTGCACCGCCCGAAATTGAACCAGATGGCTACCTTGAGATCTGTATCGGAGCCTGGCGCCTTGGCGGAGAGGATCAGGTCTCCTTTACCCCGCCGGCCGTTGCGGCCCTGGTCGTACTCGGATTGTCGGGAGAAACAGTCGCCGAGGTTGGAAAGTATCTGATAGTCTTCCGGACTGAAGATCAGGTCGCGGCATTTGCGACGGATCGTGTGTTCGACGTACTCCCGTTGGCACTTGCGCAACAGGGGCAAAGTGCTCCAGCGGCACTGGAGGATGGCCGTCTGTAGGTTTGTTCGCTCCGCCGACGACAGGGCGAAGAAGTCCAGTGGCGGCGGTAGGAAGTCGGGAGTGAAGAAATCATGACGGGAACTCTCATTCGGGCTGCTGAAGGCCAGCCGGATCAGCCAGGTGTAGATGGTCGGGTTGGACAGGGCCCTAGCGATGTGGAGGGAGGCACGGGGCAGGTTGATTTCGAGGCATTCGAAGAAGATCTTCTGGAGCACCTCGACAGGCAAGGACTCGAGAGTAGACAGCGGCCGGATCGATCTCTTCTGCATCCAGGTCCCCGGCGAAACGTCCGACGTCCCTGGACTCGGGGACGGCTGGGAAGACGGACAGGAGATCAAATCCATTCATTCATTCACGCATGCCGCAAGCGCACCGGTTTCTCAGCAAGCAAAAAGGCCGGAACCATGCTGCTGAAAGCACGTTCCCTTTTCAGAATCTTTTGTCCTTCAATATCGAATTTCTGTTTGTCGTTATATCTCCGTGGTGGGGTCTGTGCGGTTTGTTTCTGTGTGATGCCTTTTTATACCAATTCAGAATAGCCAATCCATATGGGAGGCAAGATTCTTCCTGGCAGCACCGTAGTTATTATTGTTCGATTGCCCTGTACCACCCAGCTGGAAGGCTATTCCGGTTCCGTCGACCCGAAATTCCACGGGCTGGACTCAAGTAGTCAGACAAAGGGCCTTTTTTTGGGACCTGCACGATGAAGTGGACAACAGGGATTCTTTCAACAACCACCGCGTGCCTGTGGCCTGATTGGAGTGGTATAAGGCTGGGGAGTTTGACTGGTTCCGAGCCACGTCGGGCGGTAGTTACCGTCAGGCTGGGTGATGTGATCGACTGAGGGATTGATTATCAATCGTGGATTAATTAATGTGACGACGGGTGTGAGCACGACGATG